TGGCGGAAACTGTGCGGATCCCCCACCAAACCTGGGATGCGCAGAACGAAACGAAACTCGTCACGAGCATTGCCTCACCTTATTTCTTTCCACCATGGTCAACACCAAGGAAAAAGACGAGAGGCAACGGCCGACGAGTACCGACCGTCGGTAAGAGCGCGGAGGGCGCTCGCTCTTACCGACCGCGGGTAAAGACGGAACGCGCCTCGCACCCCTCGGCGCCCGCACCAGATGGCGCGCGGTAGGGCACGATATACGCCTGATTCACGGCGAGGGAAGACCAGCGGTTGCGATCGATCCGCCTCGCTGACGCTCGAAAATAAGGGACGAGGAAGCGAGGAGCGAGGTACGTCGGCTAACCTTGAGAGGAACCGAAGCCTATTTTTAATTGCGCACAGGCTCCCGTTTCTTCGCTCGGTCTCCGGCACGTGAGGTGCAGGAGCGTCGGATCGATAGCGCGCGGATGTGTCCGCTCGCGCGCGCCGCGGCGCCGCCGCCGCGCCGGCGGCGGCGGCTCTCGTCGCGCGTTTCCCGCGCGCGCTCGGGCGGAAAGCGGACGCGCCGCGAGAACGAGGTCGGGGGGCACCGGAGGTGGCGAGAGACGAGGGACCGTCCGCGTCGCGTCGCGCGTAAATACATAAATTTCCCGCGGACACGGGCGAGAGGGAGACCTCCGCGTTTTTATTCAACTTTGTCCCCCGCCGGCCGAGCTCTGCTGCGGCCGTCGCGTCGCTCCGCCGTCAATTAGTCGCCATAGCTGTGCGGGTCCTCGCTCACCTATCGCGTGCGTCGGTCCGGCTCCTATTGGGTACGTGACGCTAAAGCTAGTCCGTTATGGGTCCTAAATTTTGACCACGGACGCCGCAGGACGTCCGTGGGTGCATTTTTGTTCTCTCCCTCGAGGGAAACGAGAGAGAGAGAGAGAGAACGGGGAGACTGCGAGGAACGCGCGGCCCGGGGAACAAACCGCCTTTGTTTTCGGGCAAAGCATGAATTAAAACGTCAACGGACGGTCTTAGCGCGCGGTCCCGGCCGCCGAGGACACTCGGACGAGGTTCGACGACCGCTCGTCAAAGCGCGACTCCCAAATATAAATGAGAGAGAAAACGAAATCCGCCTCGCGGCCGGACGAACGGCGGCGGCGGCGGCGGCGACGCTGAGAGGGCATTCGAGTCGCGAGTAACGGAATTATCGTCGCCCCGTCCGCGAAGCGATAAAATCCGACTATTGATTCGGGGGGCTGGAAATTATTTCGACCGTGCCGCGACGCGAGGAGGACTCAAGTCGTCGAAAACACACGCTAGCCGGGGTGAGGTCAACGTCCCCCCCCCCCCGGCGCTCATAACCGGCTCGTAACTATTCGACGTTCGTCGTGCATGTGCGATTTTTTTCCTTTGCATAATCCCACAGACGGACAGGCCGGGCGGACACACGCGTACGCGCACACACGTATACGTTTATCGATCCACGCGACGCAGGTCGTTATTAATATTAATGCCCGTCCCGCGGTTACTCTAAATTTCCAGCCCGTTATCAGCGAAATTTCCGCGCGCCGGGGACTCGGGATCGGCGCACCACGCCGATCTACGCGTCGCGTCGCGGCGCGTCCCGACGCGGCCGCCGGCGGCCGCGCGATAAAGCCCGCCCGCCATTGCAACCGTTGGCGCCAAATCGTCCGATCGCGCGCGAAATCCCCGACGCGAGGGATCCCGCGGTTCGCTTCCGCGACGCGAAGGCGAGGAGGACGAGAAAGAGAGAGAGAGGGAGGCGAGATTCGGGGCGCCGCGCTCGCTCGCGACGATTCTCCTTCGCCGCCGCCGCCGCCGCCGCGGCGCGCGGGGCGATCTTTTGGCGGGAATTCGTCGACGCGCTCGGGCCGGAGACCAGTGGGGGAGAGAGAGCGCGCGAGGGGAAGAGAGAGACACAGAGAGGCCTTCAGGCCGGCTCGCGAACTGCGGCTCGACGAATCGCGTCGCAGTGTATCGTCGTCGGTCAGTTGGCGGCTTGGCATTCTCCCGGTAAGTTGCCTCGCATTATACGCCGTGTTTGTTGCTGCGTGCATGTGTATGCGTGCCTGCTGTATGTGTGTGTGTGTGTGTTCGGTACGTCGCGAGTACCCGCTACGTACGTCGACGACGACCCCGTCGCCGGCCGCTCCCCCGTTTGCGCGACGGATCGGCAGCCGCCGCCGCCGCGCCGCGCCGGCCGGCTTCGCCGGCCACCGAGGGCGAACCGCGCGACGAGAGTGGAGGCTGCGCTCGGCGGCGGGGCGGTTGCGCGCCTACGAGTGTGTGTGTGTGCGTAGCGGGCGCGGGCGCGCGACCGCGCGCGCGCCCGCCCGCCTGTGTGTGCGTAGAGTGCGCGGGCACACGGCACAGCGGCGCCCGCTAATATACCGCGATACGGCGGCGAAGCGAACGAGAGTCGGGAAACGTGCCGAGTGCACACGCAGCGTACGCGGGCAAACGCGGGTAATCGAGCGAGCGTAGAGAGAGTGTGCGTACGGTCGTCGGCGGCGAGTAAGGCCCGGCAGTCGGCGTCTCGCGCGAGAGATACGCTTGCGGTATACGGTACACGGCACGGCGCGAGGTGACGCGACGCGACGCTACGCGACGTGACGGTGACGTGACCGCGAGACACCACCGAACGCCGCCGCCGCCGCCGCCACGCCACGACGCGCGCTGCCGATCGGTGACGGGAAGGCTCTCTATCACCCTTTGTTCCTCGCGGAGCTCGGAGTGCGTGACCCGACGTGTGTGTACGCGCGATCCAAATCTCTGTCCGAATCCGCGACAAGTGAGGTGAGTGAGTGCCGTTTGGCGGGCGTGCGCGTTGAACGGTCGTCGCCGCCGCCGCCGCCGCCGCTGCCGCCGCGTCCAGTTTCTACGCGCTCCTTTCCTGCGAGCGTCAACCAAGTCGGCGGCGGCCGCCGACGCGGCGTCGATTTATTTGGGCGGTAAGCGCGCGCGACCGCTACCCGAGAGCAAGCCCGGCGACTCGGCGGGCCCGCGGCGGATTTTTCGGCGCGCGCCCCGTCGCCGTCGCGCCGTTACTTGCAGAGATTATCGGCCCGGTCGCCCGATTACCCGCGGCGCGAATAGACGCCGCCACCGCGAAGGCACACACGGCCACCGCGGACGCCATCATTCGCGCCTCTCTCTTTCTCTGTGTGTGTCTCTCTCTCTCTCCCCCGTGGCGTCCCCGGCCACGCCGACGTCCGCACGGCCGTTTCCTCCTGGTGAGGCGGGCGAGCTCGCGTGAAATTCGAGGGAAAGAGCGACTATCTTCGCCTCCCCTCCCGCCCCTCCGCGGCGGAGTCGGCGCGCGTCCCGCGCCGAGGCTCGACGCGGACCGCTTGCAAATTTTGAAAATGGCGGGCGCGGAACTTTCGGCGGAGCGAGCGGGAGACGCCGCTGCTCCGCGACGTCGTCCGTGCCCTCCGCGGCGCGCGTTTAGTGCGACGCAAATTGTACGTCGCGCGCGCCGCGTATCTCTGCCCGCGAACTCGCGACGCGCGTAATTGATAGTACCGATTTTCGCGGCGCGTTTGCGCACTCCTCCCTCCCCCCCCCGCCGCCCACTCTTTCCCGCGCGCGCGCCAGCTCGCGAGCGAGCGAGCCGCGCCGCGATCCCCGATGCTCCTTCGAGCGCGCGAGACAACGGCCGAGAGGAAAATATCGGAAGATCGATAGTCACGTTTGCTTCTTTTATTTTTGCCTTTTTTTTCTCTCTCGAGATTCGAGAAGCTCGTATTTTTCCGTTCGATAACGGCGATACGCAGCGAGCTGGCTTTTACCGGTTCTCACCGTTCGATTAACGACCCATCCTCGCGAGTTATAGCGATCTCACGTCCGGCGTTGTAACGACATGTAGACGCAATGTATTTTTATTTACCAACATACGCGCGCCGCCAAGGCTTGGTTTCACCAGTGTTGCTTGACTTTGAGCTCACCTCAGTTTATTCTTTGTCTCCAACTGTTGCTTGAAACGTTAATTGAACTAAGATGGAAGTTAAGCGACGTTTGGCGAAACCGGGCACCCGAGAGGTCTCGGGTAGTCGGGGGGGGGGGGGGTTGTCGGCGAATTAAGGACATCGGGGTCGTTGGAAAGCGACGTCGAGTGACGCATTTATTTTCACGCGTGTACATACGACTCGAAGGCCCTTGTATATCAGCTGGCGTAGCTTCGCGGCTCACCTTGTCGGGGACGATACGACCTGAAAAAAAGAGACTGACTGAGAAATAATCGATATCGGTCTTACCACTTTGCAGTGAATCAGGACAATAAATATGTCAGACGACAATTCGCCCGTGGTGGAGGAGCAAAAAAAGAAGAGGGGCAGGCCGGCCAAGGCGGACAAGAACGCTGTTAAGGAGCCCAAAAAGAGGGGTAGGCCCGCCGCGGAAAAGAATAACGCGGTACGCCCCGCCAAGTCTGACAACGAGGACGACGCACCACCTGGACCCGTTAAAAAGGGAAGGGGTAGACCCAAGGGATCCCACAAGAAGAAGGTACGTCAAAATTGTGTTGCATGTTTAGGAGTCGACGAACGATAGCTCGGTCGAGCTGTTGTCGTAGTCGAGAATCTACTCTCACTGGGAAAATTGTTGAACTTACAGCAAGGACCACCAAAAGGCACAACCACTTCGCCACGCGGTCGCGGTAGACCGAAAAAGACGGAAGAGAAACCCGAGCTCACCGGCGAGGATGAAGACGAGCAAGAGGAGGAGGAGGAGGAGGAGGAGAATTGAAGCATCTCGGGATGCAATAGGGGAGGACGAAACTAACACAACAGCTGACTTATCCTTCGAAGATTTTTAAATAGAAAATCAATTATTTCAATCAATTCACTTGCGTTTATTCCGTTTTAATCCGATTCATTTTCGCGCGAGCCTCGTGGCCAAGTGGGCAACTGTCCTCGCCGACTACCGGAGTTCTCTGCCGAACTCCGGTACGCGGTCCGCATTGCCACGCGCCGACGAGCTTAAAATGAAACGTTAGATCAAAAGTTGTGTTACAAATTCATTAAGTTCTTTATATTTACTTGACATCGCTATTAATGATAAATGAAATCATACTTTTAAGTATCGAGTACGTGTAACCTTCTTTAACAGTTAAAAAAAAGACTGGAATTCTCAAGATGCAGATCTCAAAATATTTCTTTCATTTGCCCGAGAAGTGAGGTTTGATAAACTTTTTATTATTAAAACACATTAATATAGAGTATTGTGTCACATGTTTGCTACCTCCTTTTCTCCCTCATCTACATATTACGCGATTCATGAAGCCAAAAAAAAACACATACCGATCTAATATTGTAAGAGATAGAGAAAGATAAACGGAAAAAAAAATTTCTTGTATGTAACATATGCAGGGATTATTCTTTTCTAATTAACACATAACTACATTTTCTTAATGAATATTAATGTATATTACTGTCGTTTTTGAGGCAAGCATATGTGTGAATGTCAAATTTGTATTAAAGTAAATAAACTCAAAGTACTCTTATTAATTTTGTGTCCGCATTTTCCCCGCAGAGACTTCAGATTCCGAGCAAAACCTCGACGCCTTATCGTAAAGCGGTGGCAATGTTTCGTAGCGATAGCACGGTTTACGACTCGTTCGATTGCACGAGAGGAAGATTATTTCTCAAATTTATTCGAAGGAAAAGAACACGGGGAAATTATTTTGAATGACGGGGACAACAGAATCTTCACAGAGGTGGGAAGATATGAGTGTGATAAAAATGTATCAAGTAATGAAGTGAAAAATTTCATGTTTATATTTTCTATTATGAAAATTGCGTAAAATGTCTATACTATATACAATTTAATTCGCTAATACTTGCGAAACTTGCGCGTATCGTATTGAACTTGGATAAAAAGATTCAAAGTTTAATTCGATTGCTTGCGCTAGTGCGCAGCGAGCGTACACACTAATGCCTGTTTACAGTCAATTTTTACAATCGACTTCGCCTTAAACACACGCTCGAAGAGTGTTGAGCCAAAAAATGATCCGTACGGATGCCACACAGATCGTTTTACTGGCTAAATATTTCGCGAGATATTTAAGACGATCCTTAAATACAAGAGTTGACTGCAAACAGGCGTTGGTGTGCGCTCGGTGCGCACAAACAACCGAATTCGCTATTAGGCTATATAAAGTAGCTGGAGGAAAAGTTGGAGTTGAATATATTTCTAATATACTAGTTTCTTTTACAAAACTTTGGTCTTGGAGAATTTGTATAAGAATAAATGTAGCTCTCAGCCGAGGCCGCGAATTCCAGTATGCTAAGAGCCTCGCGCGTACAGGAATTACGGTAAATGAATATATTCAGCCTATGGTAGTTGTAGCCATGAAAAAAAAATGATACAAATGCCATGCAAAAGTGTGCTATTAATGACCACCGAATAGCTCCGCATTTTCCTCAGTATCCATGGATTGGTATCCTTGCTGTAAAATCAATCGACACTTATTTTCAGGGCACTCGCGCGCGAGTCGCAAGCGAAAACAATCTTACACACTCGTCTCTGATGCGTGTTGTAGCACTCGTCCAGCAGCTCCGTCTCCCAGTCGTCCTCCTCCTCCTCGCCGGGATCAAAGTTGTACATTGGCATGAGCCTGTGTCTCAAACGCTCCAGCTTGCGCTTCCTCGATATAATCAGCACCTTTGAGGACAAAATCGGACACTAAGGTTCGAGAAATCTTATTCGTACCTAACAAGAAAAGCAGGGTACTGAGTTTTGCCGAAACAAAAAAACAACAAAGCATTCGCCAAGATCATATCACGCATTCATCTGCAATTCCCATGAGAGAACCAATAAGGCCGTGTCGTGAGTGTCGTGAGACGTATGCGTAAAATTGCACGTCGCACACTGCGTTAGTGCTTGCATGGCGCCGTGTTTGAAAATAAAAACGGAGGCAGCGGGGAAAAACGTCACGAGGTAATGACAAAAGTGATATCGCTACCCATACCACAGCTGATAGTATAATAACAGAGACCACCACACCGAGTGGCACAAAGATATATTCTACGCCTTCGGGTGGACCGAACTCGTCGAAGGACTCGGTGGTGGTCGTCGGCGCGTACGTCGTGGCGCTTCTCGAAGCGTTATACGACGTCGCCGTGGGCTCGGACAGCAGAGTCACGGCGGTTTTCGACAAGTTCCACAATCGCTGGCTGCCCTCGCCGTCCTGCGGCAGCTCCGCGTACGCCGCCGTGGACACGCTGTCGTTGTAGACCGTGCTCGGCATGCTTGCGGAGACCGTCGCGAGATCGTTCACCAGTATAGTGTACAAAATCGACTCGGCGACGTCCGTCGCGTTGCTGTACCCTCTCGTGCCGTTCGCATCATTATCCTCGTGCATCTTATCGGGGAAAGCTCGGTTAATTGCTCGGTTAAGCCATCAGTTAGTCGCGCGAAGGGAGCTCCTCGCAGGTGTGGCACATATTGAATATCCTATGCGTTGAAGCCTCGGTAAAATTAGTAAGTTTAGTTTTCCTCTTAAGAAGTAGGCATGCATAAAACGAGAGAGAGAGAGAGGCACGCGCTCGTTTTCTCTCCTTACGCTATTACTCCGGCTTGCTGTCGTGTGTCCGTGAACGTTGCGTCCACCTAGTCTGGATCTCGTGGGAGACGTGGACGTCGCGAGAGTCGAGCAACCTGCACGGTTTTTTTCCCTCTGTCAGCAAACTTGCAACAGCTACGTGGTATCATGTGCTCGTCGTCGTCGGACACACCGTCATCCTCAGGGGGGTATCGTTTTACGCACGTGTCGATGAGGTAAGCGCCGACGTCATCATGTCGCGGTGTCTTATCAATTATTCACCTCGGCGGCGGCGACGACGACGCGGACAGATGTAATTTCGGGCCGTTAAACGGCGTGTCGCGTTATTCTCGCTGTAATGTTTCCCGCGGATTCACGGGGGCATCAAGCAGGCTCCGTCGCGTCGCATTATTCGGGCAAATCCGTGACGGCGAGCCTCCCACCGAGGTTGGTCAACTACCGCGGCTCGCTCGGCCGTCGCTGCATTACTGACTCACGCCCGACGCCCGCGTTACTCCGCGGATCTGTCCTCTCTCCCTCTCCCTCGACGAGACGCGTCTTAACTCGACATATCTCGACTCGATTCGCTGTACCGTGTCGCGTCGTGCTGTCGTCGCGTCGTCGTCGTCCACCGATGATTTGCGCATGATGCGAAAACTGCGGTAGCGTAGCAGACGACAGCACGGGCGTAGGCGCGGACACTCGAAATCTCGGGACCCCCCGTACCTACGACTAGGCGCGGTGTGATACAAGTCGCAATAATGCCCCGTTTCTACCAATGCAGATTAACTTAAAGCCTCCGCTACAATTGATTCTCGGTTCTGTCTACAATGGTCGTAGTCGTAAGAATAATCGACTGCGATTGGTCAATTCAGTCAGACGCATAAGGCTGGTATTACATTTGTCGTACGACAAAGTTTTTCAAGCGTATTGATTGGCTGAAGGATAGTAAAATTCTCGAGTATCTAGAAACTTACTATTCAGCGGCCAATCGACACGCTTGAAAAATTTGTCGTACGACAAATGTAATAGTACCCTAAGAATTGACCAATCGCAGTCGATTATTCTTACGACTACGACCATTGTAGACAGAACCGAGAATCACTGAGTGCTGCTACACGGAACGCTTAATCGGGTTTAATAACATCTGTAGTTATAAAACTGGCCAATCACAACTATTCCTCAGAAGAATGGAATGACTGTGATTGGCCAGCCCTTTAACTACGGATGTTATTAAATCCGATTAGAGTGCCGTGTAAACATAGTCATTGTAGCGGAGGCTTTACTTACATTCACTCATACTTGACGCCGATTGAACGTATTTTTAAATAATTTCTATATGCAATTTGTTTGTAATTAATTACAAACAAACGAATGACTCACAAACCTTTCTAATTGCACTAGAAACGTCTACATACGAAATACAAACGATTGCATATAGAAATTATTTAAAAATACATTCAGTCGGCGTCAAGTATGAGGGAATTTTACTTACGACTACGACTTCTATGTAGACGAGGCTTTAAGGCTGGTCTACAATACATGGAGTAAGCTGGAGTAAGCTGGAGTAAGGAGTAGGAGTAAGGAAATAAATCCATTTTATTTCTTACTCCTACTCCTTACTCCAGCTTACTCCATGTATTGTAGACCAGCCTTTAGGGTTTT